GGAGTCAGGTCACAGCCCCCTCCCAGGGCCCCAGCCGGGACATGCCAAGGACAGGAACCTGGGGCCCCAGGGGTATGGGCTGGGACAAAGGGGTGACTGTCTGAGGCTGGGAAGGGCTGCAGCGCACACACATCCACAAAGAAGCACCGAGTGCGGCGCGCACCCCCGAGCAGCGTCTGGGGGGGTGCAGACAGGCAGACACACGCAGGGCACAGCCAGGGACGCACGGAGCCCCGCGAACCCCGAGGAGACCCTGGCGCGCGCCAAGGCGCATTCCCCAGGTGCCTGCGCTTCCCCGCCCCCCGCACGGGCGCGTCCCCCCACGCGCGCAGACGGACACATGGGCACACACCTACCTGGGGGTGGGGTGCGGGTGGGCGCTGGGGCCAGTGCGTGCCCTGCCCGTCCTCGCCAGCCACCCGCCCGCAAAGGCGACTATTTATAAGGCTGTCAGCAGCGCGCGGCATGCCGGGAGCCAGCTCCGTGATCGCAGGAGGGAGGGAGGAGGGGGGAGCGCAGCCGGGAAGGAGGGGGCCGGACCAGAGCGGAGCCCTGATGGGAGATCGAGCAGGACTGGCGCCCTCCCCTGCGCGTCCCACACGCGGGGCGCTCCACCGCACTGACTGTTCCCGAGGGTTTCCATTCCGTGTCACCCCACTGCGCCCACATCCCTGCAGGGGGTGGGACCTGGCTTCCCTGGTGACAGCGGGGGAAACTGAGGCCCAGGGAGGCGTGGCTCTTTGCACAAAATCCCACAGCAAATTGGTAGCAGGGAGAGGCCAGACCAGGGAGGGAGGACTGAGGCATGGATGCTGGGGCTTCGCTGGCCACGCCAGTCCCCAGCCCCTTCTCAGACCTGCCCCGAGGCCCCTGGGCCAAGGCCCACCCGGAATGGGAGGGGTTCCAGGAACTCCTCTGGGACACAAACTCCCCAGGACCCCAAAGACCATCCACAAAACCATCTCCCAGCTGGTGGTTGTGTAGATTATTAAAAACCCTAGTCCTGCCCTAGCCGGTTTGGCTCAGTGGATAGAGCGTCAGCCTGCGGACTGAAGGGTCCTGGGTTCGATTCCGGTCAAGGGCACACGCCCGGATTGCGGGCTTGATCCCCAGTAGGGGGCGTGCAGGAGGCAGCCAATCAATGATTCTCTCTCATCATTGATGTTTCTATCTATCTCTTCCTCTCCCTTCCTCTCTGAAATCGATAAAGATATGTTTAAATAAATAAATAAATAAATAAATCCCAGCCCTGCCAGGCAACCCCCAACGAGGCGAGCCGGAGGATGTGGCCATTCAGAACGCTGTATTCTGTCTGCGGATGGGGGACCGGGACGGTGGTCCTGAGATAAGAACAGCGCCCCCTAATGCGCACTCACTGTGGGCCGGTGCCGGGCAGAGAACACGGGCCGCGGGCCGCGTCTGCGAATCCTTAAACATGGAGGACAGGGAGTTCACACTGCAGGTGAGCTTGTGTTTATCCGTGGAGACTGACACGGAGCTGTAGGTGCTCAACAAGGTAGCAGGGACCAGGACCACGCAGCTTCGGAACTCAGGGACTTGACCGCTAGGACCACACCACAGGGGGGGGGGTTAAATTTAGAATTTGTCTTGTAGGCACTAGGGAGCCATGAAAGGTGTTGCAGTAGGCACTAGGGAGCCATGAAAGGTGTTGCAGCAAGAGAGTGAAACTACCCAGAGAGAGAGACCGTTTGAGATGGGTAGTTTCTTAGACACCGGGAGGCTGGGAGCTAGTCCCAGCTCCGCCACCTGTGACATCAGACAAGCCCCTTACTCCTTGGGACCTGAGCTTCCCCAGCTGTGGGAGGGGCAGGTGCTGGGCCGGAGGGTCTGCCTTCCAAGTTGTTCAGAGACCCCCCCAAAGCCAGAGGCGGCTGTGCACAATGGCACCACCTTTGGGGAAAGCAAACTGATGAAGTCAGTCAACAATCTACACATGCAGGGTCATATGTGTCAGAACGATTCCTCGAAATTCTTTCTTTGCGCTTTAACATCTCTGGCGTGTGCTCTCTTATCATCACATCGATGGCATCTCGAAGGGTGTGCACATGACGCCCCAGGGGGAGGTGGGACTTGTGCACTTTCTTAAAGGCTTCCCCATGCTTTTTTTTTTTAAAATATGACGAGCATCTGTTATTTTATATATAAAACACTTTAAACACAGATGCACCTTGAGGACATTATGCTAAGTGAAATAAGCCAGTCACAACAAGACAGATACTGTATGACTCCACTTACAGGAGGTACTAACGTCACCAAACTCATAGAAAAAGAAAGTAGAAGGATGGTCCCCTGCGGCTGAGGGGCAGGGGAAGTGGGGGTTGGCGTCCAGCGGATAGAGAGTTTCAGATCTGCAAGATGAAGAAGTCCCGGAGTTCTGTTTCCTAACAATGCACGCACACTTAACCCCGCTGAACTGCACTCTTAAAAATGCTTAACTGGTAAATCTTATGTGCTTTTTGCCACAATGAAAAAATAAATTTAAAAATTGTAAAAACCTATTTTAAGTACCTGTTTTAATTATTTCTTTTGCACATGACCTATGGATTTTCTATCAATCCTGGAATATTGAAGCTTCAGGATTTTTTTCTCCGCTCTAAACTAAAGAAAGAAAAAAAGGTGGGAGAGAGGAAGAGGCAGGGAGGGATGAAAGAGGGAATGAAGAAAGGAGAAGATGGAAGGGAAAACAGAAGGAGGGGAGGGGAGGGGAGGGGAAAGGCAGAGAAAGAAAAAAATCGCATGGGGAAACACCTGGGAGGTTATACCCTAGACCAGCGGTTCTCAACCTGTGGGTCGCGACCCCTTTGGTGGTCAAATGACCCTTTCACAGGGGTCGCCTAAATACATCCTGCATATCAGATATTTACATTATGATTCATAACAGTAGCAAAATTACAGTTATGAAGTAGCAACGAAAATAATTTTATGGTTGGGGGTCACCACAACATGAGGAACTGTATTTAAAGGGCCGCGGCATGAGGAAGGTTGAGAACCACTGCCCTAGGCTGTTAACAGGGAACAGGACCGGGTGACGCCCTCCCTTTTTATCTTATATCATTTGTATGGCTAAAGTTATAACAGTAAAAAAAAAACCCTAAAAATATAACCATATAAAATGAAACCAATTTTTAAAAACACTTTACAAATATTCTGGTTTAAGAAAGAACTCCCAGGCTAGAAAATGAGCCAGCATCGGGGGATAAAGCTGGGTCGGCCTCACTCTGAGTGTCACAGGGAGGTGAGGGGCTGCGCAGGGGGCCTGGCTGGGCTGCTGAGCATCTGCAGGAAGCAGCGGGAGTGGCCCCTCCGGGAAGCACCTGCTGGGTTTGCAGCTGGTGGGAGATGCGGCCAAGCAGGGGAGGGGATCACAGGGCTGAGGGGGAGACACAGGAATGCAGCGGGCTCTGAACCTCAGCTGAGGAAGTGGAAGAGGCTTTGTCTTGGCCACAGCGGGGAGCAGGTGAAGGGTTCAGAGCAAAACAGGACGGTGATGAGGTGGGCTCAGGAAGATAACTTTGACAATGAGTATACTTGTCTGGGGGGGGGGGCCCTCCGAGGGGATGAGTTCGTAGGGTTGAGGACTAGGCCCCAGACCTCTTGCCTTCACCAAAGTCCTACCTCCTGATGCTAAACCGAACTTTCGGAGGGTCCACCCCAAGCAACCCACCTTCTCTTGAGGCACTGCTGGGTCTCCCTTCATGCCCACCCGAGGGCGGGCAGATCCCCGGAAGCCTCTGCAGAGCCAGAGCGCGCCGTGTTCCATATCTCCATCCCCACGCAGGGCCTGAGCTCCCCACGCAATGACTTCCCACACGCCCACCACCACTGCCGTGGGCCCCGTGACGTCCCAGCCTCCTGCCTGTCCCACTGCTGTCCAAGCAAGAATGACCTCTCCAAGCAGGGCTGGCACTCATGGCCTTTTGCCATCTGGCCCCAAGTGGCTCATCTCCCACGGCTCCCGCCTCCCTGCCTCCTGGGAGAGGCTGTGGGTCCCACCAAGGCGCTATCCTTCGGGCCATTCTTCCCACCTGACATCCCTCCCTCTTCAATTGCACCTGATAGAGCGCCTGGCACGTGGCTACTCACTAGAATGTGTACGTGAATTAGGCGAATGCAGCGCGCCCTTCTCTCCTCCCCGCGCCCCGGCCCCCCATCTGGCTGGCCCGGTGCCCAGGGAGAGCTCTCTCCCCGTCCCCAGCAGGCCGCCTGCCCTTGTCTCACAGTCACCCTTTGTTAGGCCTCTGCTCCCAAGGTATCTATCTGCCTAACAGGTTGTAATCTCCCAGAGTCACAGACCCCCTTCCTCCTGCCAACCTGGAGTTGTAAACAAGGCCTTTCACTCAACTGCTGCTCACCACACCCTCCCAGGGCTGCAGCCCTGCCTGGCTCCTGCCTGCTGGGCCTGCAGGAAATGTGGGCTCCCAGCCCTCAGCATCCCCAGGCCCTTGAGCCAACCTCTGACCCACCGCCTGCCCTCTCCTCCTGAATCCTGTCCGGGCCTCCTCTCCTCCCCATCCCCATCCCCACCCCCATCCCCAAACTCTGCAGGACGCTTCCTCATCTCCCAGGCCTCAGAAGCATGTCACCCACCCTAAAGCCCTCTCGCAGCGTCTGCATCATCGTCTTTGGAGCCCGTACTCCCGGGGTGGCCTCCCTAGGGCCTGAGCTCCTTGGGAGCAGTGTGTGGTCCTGGAACTGGGCTCGGAGAGGGCAAGTGACTTACCCAAGGTCGCAGAAGCAGGGGGAGGCAGGACTGGAAAAGCCAGATGGGCTTGGCTTGGGAAACTCGCACCTCCCCAACCCCCTGAGCTGCCAGCTCTCCCCACAAGCTGCAAAGTGCATGACTCACTGGCCAGCTGAAAAAGCTGGCGGTCCTGCTTGTGGGTGAGCTCCCCACCTGGAGGGCCTGGGCCCTGTCCCAAGGCGGCCCAGAGCCCAGGGCCAGAGAGCCCAGCTCGACGGGGACACACGGGAGCTGGAGCTGGAGCTTAAGTGCATTTATTCCTGTACAAATCATTACAAAACCAAGTCTGGGGGAGTCACCAGCCCCCACTCCCCACCCCATGTGCAATGGCTTGTGCCGGCCTCCTCCTCCTCTACCTGGCCCCTCCCATTCCGCAGCCTCCTCCAGGAAGCCCTCTGGTCTTCCCTTCCAGGCTTCAGAAGAGCAAGGGGCAAACCCACCCCGCTGAGGCCCAGCAATAAAGTGCCTGATACAGAACGAGGGGGGACAGGACCCTGGCGACACAGCTCCCGGCCCCCCCAGAGAGCTTTCCCAGGCCCAGCTGGAGGGAGACTCAGGTGACTCCAGCAGCTGCAGGCAAAGGGGCTGCTTGAAACCTCAGTTGGGCTGGGGTCCCCCCTGTCTCAGCCCCAAAGGCTCCTCCAACAGGTGGACAGCCTCACCGGGGAGAGTTTGCACAAAAATACCCTCATCTCCAGGAAGAGGTGGGGAAGGGGACCCCAGGCCCTAGGGAGCTGAGACCCCCAGCAAGGGGTAGTGGCCGGCGGGGCCCAGTGTTATGGAGGACGGACCCAAGGCAGTAGTGGGAGAGGTGGGAGGGGGTCGAAGACTCCACTTAGAACCTGACACGGGCAGAAGGATGCCAGAGAGGGGGACAAGGGATTGTCCAAGGCCACTCAGGGCAGAGCCAAGACTGACACCGGCCCCCCACCTCCAGGACCCTCCAGCCCCCAACTGCCCCAGCCTGTGACCTCCATTCACCTCCCACTCCTCATGCAACCTTTCTTTGTGGCTCCGGGAAGTGAGGGGCCAACACCAAGTTCCCAGGTCCTTGGAACAAGACCCCACTGTCCCAGCCAATAGGAAATGATTTGGGGACCATCCTGAGGCTCTGAACCAAGGCCTCATGGGAAAGGACATGTCCTTGGCCTCCTATTACTCAGAAATACCCTGATTGACTATGCTCAGACCCTGATTGAACACGTTTCCTGACACCCCTGATTAAGCACACAGAAGCCCAAATCCCTGAAGGCCAGGAGGTCTCCCAGGCCCTGACCGGCTGGAGGACACACCCTCTTCAAGGCCCTGATTGGCCAGAAGACACTCCAGCCAGCCTTCATGGGCCAGGAGATGGCCCTCGGTCGAGTGGCTGGGCCAAGAGCCACTTCTCCGGTGTCCCTGGTGAGGGTCACAGGCAGGGCGGCCTAGGTCCAGGAGGGATGGGAGAAGGTGATCCCGTACAGCTGGGCCCAGGACGAGAAGACCCTCTTCTCGGTGATGAAGCGGTGGTGGTTGCCCTTGCGGCTGTGCTCATTCTGCACGTAGGTGACACACTCGTCTGGCCCCTTGGGCTCATAGTAGTGGTAGGGCATGCGCTGCAGGCGGGACCGCTGGCTGGGGCAGAGCAGAGGTGTCTGTGAGGGCAGGGTGGGCACTGGCGGGGCCCTTGCCCTTTCCCGCCCCTGACCTGCCGTAGGACCTTAGTGGGGAAATACCTGCCCCTCCCTGGGCCTCAGTTTCCCCATCTGTAAAATGGGTATAGGGTGGACTAGGTTTTTTGACTTCCAAACTTCGTTTTTAATGCTGTGGATCTTTTCATGTCCCTGAGAGGGTGGCAAAGCCGGGTAGAGGTAAGGGCTCTGGAACTTGACCCCCACCCTTTACTATTTGTGGGACCTGAGACCACTCACAAAACAACTTTCCTCATCTATGAAATAGGGAGAATAACATACCTATCCCTTAGAACCACTGTGACGAGTGAATAATAAATATGGTCACGCTTGGGGCATGGTCAGCACTCAGTCAAGAACAGCTGTCACCTCTTGGGCTTTGCATATAGTAATAATAATAATGATAGTTATTATTAATACACAAACTCTGGACTGGCTGAGGTGTGTGTGTGGGGGGCGGGGGGGTTGGCGCTGAGGCAGCTCTAAGGAGCCCACGTCTCTGCAGAGAGCCCGAATACCATCAAACAGAGAATCTCAAAGGCCCCCCAGCCCAGGTTTCGGGCCCCCGGCTCCATCCCATGGCAGTGGCTAGCATTGTCCTGGAGGGGCTCACCTGCAGTAGTCGGGGGGGACCATGCCATAGACGTGCACATGGTCACACAACTCCACCGCGATCACCATGGTGAACCAGCCCGTGCTCAACCACGAGTGGGACTTTTCCCTGGGGGCAGAGAGGGAGCGTGATGAGGGGCAGGCAGGCAGGGGTGGGGCGGGCAGGGAGGAACAGCCAACCACCCAGTTTCACAGAACTCATCCCCCTACTTCAGTCACCCCCATCCAGCCCACTGGGGGAGCACGGGTTTGCTGGCAGGGGGGCTGTCTGGGGAGAGGTGAGGGGTGTGGAGAGAGCTCCTTTGAGGGAAAGAGTAGGAACAAGGCATGCTGGGAATAAACTTCTGAGGACACTGGTCAGGCCTGGGTAGGCCAGGAGTGACCATGACCACAGAGCATGCTAGCCGCAGCTGTGCCCATGCCAGGAGCAGACTCCCATGGGGAGACGAAACAGAGACAGTCATGCTGGAGGGACAAGTTCAGAGCAAGGCATGAAGAAGTAGCTAAGAGCCTAGAGCCGCAGTTTGCCGAGCCGCAGTTTGCTGACCACTGGCCTAGAGCCATGCTGTCCACTACAGTGGCCACATGTGGGCACGTGTGAGCACTTGACTCGGGGTTGAGATGTGCTGTGAGTGTAAAACACACACTGGATTTCTTAGTGTGAAAAAAGAATGTGGAACGTGTTGCTGATGATGTTTTATACTGATTACATGCGAAGCTAAAAAATATTTTGCATCTACTTGGTTGAAGGTGGTTCTTTGAAAAGAAAATAAACCTCTCGCAAGGCTGACAAAAAAGAAGAGAGAAAAGACACAAATTACCAATATCAAAATAAAAGAGAACATCATCATAGACCCTGAAAACTTTAAAATAATAAGAAAACCACAAAAAACAACCACATACGTGACAACTTTCATTGGTTCTCAACCTTCCTAATGCCGCGACCCTTTAATACAGTTCCTCATGTTGTGGTGACCCCCAACCATAAAATTATTTTCGTTGCTACTTCATAACTTTAATGTTGCTACTGTTATGAATCGTAATGTAAATATCTGATATGCAGGATGTATTTTCAGGGGTCGCGACCCACAGGTTGAGAACCGCTGACTTAGATGAAATGGGCTGATTTCTCGAAAACACAAACCAAAACTCACCGAAGATGAAATAAGTAACCTGAATATCCTATAACTATTAAGGAAACTGAATTCATAGTTTAAAATCTTCTGGGGGAAAAAAACAAAACAAAACACTGCTCCAAGCCCAGATAGTCTCACTGGCCAATTCTATCAAACATTTAAATAAGCAATGACACCAATTCTACACCATCTTTTCTGAAAAATAGAAGAGGAAACATTTCCCAATGCATTTATGAGGCCAGCATTACCCTGATACCAAGATCAGGCAAAGATAGTACAAAATAAACCACAGACCAATATCTCTCATGTACGCAGATACAAAAATCTCAACAAAGTATTAGCAAATCCTATCCAGCAATATGTAAAAATAATAATACACCACTACCAGCTGGAGTTTATTCCAGAAACCAAGGCTAACTCAACATTTAAAAATCAGTCAATATAGTCCACCATATTAACAGTCTTAAAAACAAAACAAAACTAGTCTTTTTTTAAAAAAGTCTTGATTGATGCAGAAAAGTGTTTGATAAAATTCAATATCCAGTACTGATAAAAACAAACAAACAAACAAACAAACAAAAAAAACTCTTAGGAAACTAATATGCGAAGGGAATTTCCTCAACCTAATACTTGGCTGCACCTGTCCTTGCCTGTCTCACCCTGGAAGAGGTGAATATAGGTTCAAAACCCCATAGCCAGCTTCATATTCAATGATGAAAGACTAAACGCTTTTCCTCTGAGACTGGGACTAAAGCAAGATGTCTACTCTCGTCACTTCCAATACATTTCAACGTTGTACTGAAAGTTCCTAGCCAGTGCAATAAGGCAAGAAAAAGAAATGAGGCACACAGGTTAGAAAGGAAGGAGTAAAACTGTCCAATAAGTAAAGTTTAGCAGGATTACAGGATATAAGGTCACCACACAAAAATCATATTTCTAAATATTAGCAAGAATAATTGGGAACCAACATTTTAAAAAATATCATTTATGTTAGTTCCAAAATTTTAAATATTTAGGTATAAATCAAATAAAATATGTACAGGATCTATATGTTGGACATATTGAGTTAAATAAAATATATTGAAAATAATTTCAGCCACAGCTGGTTTTCTCAGTGGTTAGAGTGTTGGCCCATGGACTGAAGGGTCTCGGGTTTGATTCATGGTCAAGGGTATATATCTTGGTTGCAGGTTCGATCCCTGACCCAGTCGGGGCACGTGTGGGAGGCAACCACTCAATGTGTCTCTCTCATATTGATGTTTTTTCCTCTCTCTCCCCTTTCTCCCTCCCTTCCACTCTCTCTCTAAAGATCAATGGAAAAAATATCCTCAGATGAGGCTCAAAAAAAATAGTAATAATAGTTTCACCTGTTTCTTTTTACCTTTTTAGTGTGGTTACTATAAAAATTTTAATTATGTATGTGACTTGCATTATATTTCTATTGGATGGCACTAGCCTAGCTTACCTAAAGCAGGACTGGAAATGATGTATATTTAGAATAGAGCATGCTGGGAGCATCGGTGTGCCTAAAGCAAGAAGTGCCAGGAATAGCCAATACTTTCCAGGAGGCACGCTCCGGGGAGCTCTCCTAGAAAGATGCTAGAAATGACTGTGCAATCTTAGAGAAGAGCATGCTGGGAACCCTTCTTCCCTCAGAGCAGTGAGTGCTGGGAGAAAGCCCTCCTGGGAAGATGGGGTCATGCAGAGCATGTTGGAAATGACTGGGGTTAAACAGGAAGAGAACTCCCCCAGAAAACCTGACCAGAGGTGGCCGAGAAGTGACCACACCCTCAGAGCAGTGCTTGCTGGGAGCGACAGGCCCTCTGCACAGAGCATGCTGACGAAGAGCAGAGGGCTGGCCAGAGGGGGCAGGCAGAAGGCTGGTACCTGTCCTTGCCTGTCTCACCCCGGAAGAGGTCATCAAATTGGCGCATGCGGCCGGGAGAGACGGCGTAGGCCTCCATGTTGGGGAACACCAGGCCTGCCCTCTGGATGATGCGCACAAGGCTGCCCTGGGGCTTCTGCATCTTGTTCGGGGGCCCCCAGAAGATGAACACGGTTTCGGGGGTCCGGTTGACAAACTCCTGGGGCCTCTTCAGGACACGGTAAACACTGGAATGGGCCACCACGCGGAAGGTGGTCTTGTTGCCCACATCTGCGGAGTAGCCCGTGGTGGGCGCGTCATTCATGCGGATTGTGCACTCGGCCCGTTCAATCTCAGGACCCAGCTTGGTGCCCAGCAGGTGGCTGGAGCTGGTGACAATCACACACTGGTGGCACCGGGAGGGCAGTGTCTGGGGGAGCAAGGAAAGTCAACACTTGTCACAACCACTCTCTGTGCCAGGCCCTGGGCTCTGTACAGTGAGGCCTCCAGGAGGCCAAAATAATTATGCCCATTTTAAAGACAGAGAAACTGACGCCCATTCATTCAACAAACGTTCATAGCAAGCTGGCTAATGGTCAAGTACGCAGGACAGAGCAACCAGCAAAAGAGACCCCACTCCTGCCTTCGAGAACTCATGGTTGGCCTGGCCGGTGTGGCTCAGTGGTTGAGCATCCACCCACAAACCAGGAGATCATGGTTTGATTCCCGGTCAGGGCACATATCTAGGTTGCAGGCTCGATCCCCAGTAGGGGGTGTGCAGGAGGCAGCTGGTCCATGATTTTCACTCATCATTGTTTCTATCTCTCTCTCTCCCTCTCCCTTCCTCTCTGAACCAGAGCCTTGACTCCCATGGCCAACTCTTTCCTTTAGGAGGGATGGCGAGAGTGGAGAGAAAAAGAGGAGGGAGCAGGGGTGGTAGGCAATGGGGAGGACCACTCCCAGGGAGTTCCCCAAAGTAGCTGCCCTACCTTGTTGCCCAGAATGGGGACATAGCCATCGGTGATGCTCCACTTCTTGAGGTTGATAGGCCTGCGACTGCGGCCGCGCAGGGAGCCATAATGGAAGACCTCGTTGGCACTGTTGGAGCTGTAGAGGATGAGGATGGTGATGAGAGCAAAGAGGATCACGAACACTGCTGACCGCTGCTCCTGAGAGGGGAGAGGACTGGTGAGGTCCCAGCGACCGTGCAGGCTTGGCGCCCTGCCTCATTACCACCTGCAACACCTGGCTAACGCCTGCTCTTCACCCCAAACACTACCTCCTCCAGGAAGGCCTCCCACAACCCCCTGAGCACTGATCACGCTGCCGTGAGTTCCGCGGCTGGGACTGGGTCAGTCTCGCTCCCCACTGTTTCCCAGCTGTCAGGGTGGGGACCGGAGCATAGAAGGTTCTCAGAAGGAGGGTCTGCCGGATTGGACTGTATGTGGGTGTCAGAAGGCTTCCTCCAGCTGGGAGACAGGTGGGATAGTCCAATGAGAGGACCCAGGCCTTCCCCACACAGCAACTCTCCATACATGTTCATCGTTCCTTTACCCCTGGAGGGGATCTGCTCAGGGATTGGGCTGCCTGGGTAGAGAGTGCACCACCATGGGGATGACAGGGCAGGAACGTCATATCCAAATCGCCCACTGGAAGCTGTCTGTGCGGGTCTGCAAGGCTCGCTGAGCCTGTGGAACGCTCTGTGCTGGGTGTCCGTGTATTGTTTCTCAGCTCCAAGTTCACCCTTTTTGGCAGCTCTGTGAGAATGGATCTGGGCTCTTGGTTTTTTCCTGCCAGCTAACTGCATGTTAAGCTTTGTCGGTAGAGGGCGCGGGAGAGACACTGCAGGAAGAAAGGCCTTGACTTCCTGCTTCTGATGCTCTGGCTTCTTAGGCACATGCTTATCTCCAGCGCCCAACGCCCGCTGGGAAGCCAGCACCCAGCAGATTCCTCCAGAACCTGCAGTACCTGCCCTCAGGCAGTTTTGACCCTGCTGTGATCACAACCTCTCCAGAGTGGAGCTCAGTCACCCACCACCTGCAACATCCAGAGACCAGCAGCTCCCTCCCTGGAGCAGTTCTGCCTGGAGGCTGGGTGCCTCCTGGGTGGACTTGTGATAACGTCACCAGTGGGCACCACACTGAGTTCTCGGCCATCCAGCGGCCCATAGTGTGCCCTCCCCAGGAGGCCTGGATCTCAGCCCTGGGGCTGGTGGCTGCTCCTTGTACCTGCTATTCCTGTATTCCTTAGAGTTCCAATCCCTCATTACTCCTGCCCGATTATAGTTAATAACTCTTTACATTAAACTTGCCCTGTTCAAATTACTATGTGGGTTCTCTCTGCCGACTGGACCCAGACTGATACGCCCACATCACCCTGCCCCCAACCCTCAGGCTCTGCTGCAGTGGATTTCGGAAGGGGGTATGCAGGACCAGGCAGATAGCAGGTGCTCAGGAAAGCATGAATGAGTGGATGATGGGACACCCTCAGAAGGATGCTCACAACATTCTGTCACCTTTGACTGACCTCTGCCCCCTCCTCCAGACTCCCACTCACCTCTACCTCCCAGCCCGACCCCTGCACAGCATTCCAAGTCACCTTGGACCTGGGC